AAATTTATAGTAGAAATTTTACATTTCGTTGCAACTTGTTGCAACATTTAATATACGAAGAGAGTTTTGAAATGCATATTCGTTTTATTAGATGAAGGCTATAGCAAAGTTAGGATTACAAAATTCGCGATTAATTTTCGTGCGATCTGATACCGCTGTTTTCTCTTCTTACGATTCGTGTAATCGTAAAAATTTCAACTCTTGTCATACTACGGATAATCGATAGCTTGTGGTGAAGCGTTCGCTAGAGCCGCCAATATTCGAACAATTTGCCGTTTGAATATTTTCGTAATTTCATAATAATAAACAACGCACATAATATATATAACATAAATAATATCGCTATCAATAATTGTATTGACAGCAAAATTTTATGTAAATAACAATATAATAATTATTATTATCATATTAATAACAGAGATATTTTGACTAAAACAATGTTAACTATATCTTATAATTATCATGACATTTTCATGTTTAATCACGCGATTTCTTCTCTTATTATTATAAAAGATTTCTCGATTGTTGTTAACACTGCTGTAAATAATTATTTTCAACAAATAATCATATTATAACTTCCTATCTTTGGTTTTGGACGTGTTAGTTGTTATTACATCTCTCATTTAAATCGGGATAATTTTTCGTCTCTTTCGTTTCTTAAAAAAGTTGAAAATATTTCTCTATTTAATATATTTTGCGAAATATTCGTGAATGCTAAATATTTGGATAGAAGCTTCACTTTTGTTCACGTTTATCCGTGGAATCGCGCAAATGAGGAAAATAAATAGAAATTAATGTACTCAGTTACGAACGAATCCGACTGCTCCAGCGCTTATACGCGACACATTTTTAAATTCGACATAGTGTATAAGTTAATAGTTAGAGTAACACTGCTCACTAAATATATCTTTGTAGAAGTTAATTTAGTTTAGTATAAACGTTAGTCGTCAGTACATCGAAGGATATGCAGATAGAGAATCGGAGGGCAGTGATAACAATATGTCTAAAGTTTCTTGTTGCTAAAGAGCGCGTTCTCTTAAGGAACAAGAGAATGGAAAGAAGAAAGATTTTTCTTAATGACGCCATTATCTCACGAAGATCATCATTAAGGAACAGCAATCATAGTTCAGTTTTCATTTCACACGAAATGTCAATCACTTAAAAATCAATCGATTATCAACGGAAAGCGCACATATATGCGAGATTGAAGAAACTTTCTTTTCACACGAAATATCGTTGTTAGCGATGTATCGTTAAAACTGCCCATACACGCAAGGTTCAGCCACATAAACATATGTACAAAATTCACACATCGATTTGCTTATCCATAAATGATTTTGAGAGGTGGGATGAGACGAGAGGGTGTGTGTGGGAGGAGGGGGTGAACGATTGCAAGTTTAGCGAAGACGAGATAGTTAAGATTTATTGTGTCTCGTTAAGCGTAATAAAAACGATCCGCACAAAATGCGGATTGCGATGATCGAGAACGGCACTTTTTGCCTCATAAGTGGATCTGAGCTTTTGTGCGATTAAAAAAGCTTATTTGAAGCGTCAGCTTGCAGGAATGTGTACGCGTTTCGCCGCTGAATCTATCGTAATCTCGTTGAAGATTGACTTACTCGCCAGATAGAGGATCAACTTGAAAAAATTAATTATTATCTACCTCAAGTCTGATTAATAAAATTCTCAATGGATTGTAAATCTGTGAATTGAGCTAAAGCAGAAAGACCGTCACTTGATAGAGAGTATATACTCGATAGAGGGACTTTTGGAAAAAATCCGCAATCAGTAAATATCTATCGCTGCTAATAGTCAATAATCGATTAATCCCGATTGATCGCGTTAATTGTTCTTCCCTGAGGATTGTTACTTCGAGATACGTGCGTATTATCGACTTGTTAATCATATCTGTTATTTCACCGTTCAGAGAGACGGCGAATAAGCTATATAGATACAGAGAAAGAGAGAAAGAGAGAGAGACAGAGAAAGAGATAAGAGAAGCTATCGATATTAGCAACCGATTTCAAGATCTCGTAGAACAGCGTGATCTAATCTAAAGAAGAACGATTCGCTCGTAGGAAGAGTGCATTACAGAACGAGGATCACGACTTACAAAATATTCGAGAGCACTTTATAACAATCGGACGTTTTTCTTTCGCCTTCGATTAATCGCCGAGGGACAGTCTCGACCAGTGATGGGCAAAGTACTATTTCCATCCTCAAATATTAGAGGTAGCTTCAATGACATGCCTATTCGATCTACAGTACTATTCTGTCAATACAAAATATTAGGGATATCCCGCAAGAGTAATGAGCTCTCCTATTCTTTTCTTATAAAATGAAGGAGTTTTCAATGAATTCTTACAATGATTAATACGTTGAAGACGTATATGTGTTACAGAGGTCGACAAACCTTTTTTTGTAAATTAAAAGGTAGAGACCTTCACATATAACCGAGAACCGTGTTCAGTTAAATTTGATTAATTCCGATGCAATATCTCTGTATGGTTAGGTAATAATCGAACGATTATTTATACGCTTCTCGAGTAAGCGTGCAGAAAATTGTGAAAAATATTTAAAAGGTATATATTCGTTTCTTTTGGAAATATCTCTTGGTATTTTACTCATCCCTGGCGTGCGTTTGAATGACAATTTGCACACACTCTTCCGTTCCATTCGCTCATTGAAGATTTGTTCTCCTCGGTAGCATTTTTCTACGCTTTCCATAACTAAAACGGAAGAGGACAGGCGTAAAAAAAATTTAACCAAAAAGAACAAGATCTCCCATGTATGCGGAGAGTTGTCACGAGCGCTCGAGAGTCGGGCGGAGCAACATTACGGGAATCAAACGTGCTACCGCGCTTTAGATCAGCTTAAATGCTAAGCCCCGTTTATTTATTGCTTCTTTATCTGCGACAAGCGTCGCCTTGTTATTACTATTAACCATGTTAATTGTCAGCCACGTTAATAGTAACGATCGATTCTTTTACCTCGAAACAATTACCACACATTATGAGAAAGTAAAAATAAACGTGATTAATTTTTCCTGAAAGATTGCTATTGTTGCCAGTTCGATTTAGATAAAATTGATTAGTTTTTCTTTTAAAGTTTCTTTTAAATAATTTAATGGCAATACTATTAATCGTGTAAAAATAAAGTTACTTGAAAATCGTAAATTAATAACATCGTTATTAATATTTCGTCTGTTGAATTGTAAATTATTTCACTGTTTTTTATGAACTAAACATTTTCGCTAATTGCGTTAAAGATCAATTATGTTAATAATAACAATAATTAGATTAATTACGTTTCAGTTTACATAAGAGCGCATGTTTCCTTTATAAATCGTTCTTTAAAACATTAATCGTATAACTGATTAACTACATTAATATATGGAGGGATAATAAATTATCTTTCAATCCTTAACATATCTTGTTTGATCTTGGTTTTACAGAATAGGTTTTAAAAAATCTTTATTATCGCCAACTACGTCAACGATTAACCTTGTTAATAGTAATACTAAGTTAACAACATACAGCTATTACACAGAATGCACCAAAGTACCGCTAATATCCTCGTCTATAAATTCTCCTATCAATTTTCAAGAATCAATTCAACAAGAATCTTGGATTCTTTTTCAATGGAGATGACGTGATGTTATTGTAATGCTGATCGAAGGACTTTTACATCGTAGAGTTTATAGCCGAGAAGAAACGATGCGCGATACCTAGGTAGACCTGTATAAAAAAACGAGCGTATCGTGAATCTCAATTAGGAGGAGACAATGCAATTTGGTAGAAACGACTCGGTGCACTTGCGATGCGCCGTGCAATCATGCTCGACGTGATTATACGACTCGGTCAAACGTCACCTAACTCGTACTGGCAATACTGCATTCACACACCCTGTATTTATGTATAAGCATATTTGCGTATGCTATATATGAATCACCTATTCGTCAAGTTTGTCCTTCCTCTCGGATTACTTACAAATACTTTCCATATGTATAAGAGTCACTTACGTACAATCTCGCGTGAAACACATTCGAGTGTGCAATATATAGGTGAATGAGAAATATCGAGCATATTAATTAATACGCGACAACACATGAGCTACATCGAATGAGCTACATGAATTTATTTGGGGAAAATATAGCCTCTAAAGTAATTTATTTTAACATTTGTACATCAACGAGAAATCTATTACTTGTAGAATATATAACGGTATAGATTTATGAAACTTGCTATTTTAAATAAACTTCGTAATATCTATTTTTTGTAAAATTAATAAAAATCTTCCATGCAAAGAATCCCATTTTTTCAAACAAAATTATTCCTTGAAAATATAATATCGCAAATTTATAATGGAGAAATATAAAGATTATGGTTAAAACCAGTGTCTCTTGTTTACAAACATACACCACAATAGAGATAATAAATATATTTGTATTAGAATATTTGCAAATATTATCGATAAATTTATAGGTATGATATTCCTCATAAATGTATTTCACACTCGAATTCTTCGAGAACGAAACTCTTATTATATGCGTCATGTATTCTTCACTGAAAACAGATTTTAATAAAATCTATTTAATTCGTCAAACAATTTATACACGCATAACATAATCAATAAGTATGTGTGTGTCATATACATATATATATCTGCTCGCTTTCTATACAATAATGAATGTATGAATAGAATAGAATGCGATCATCATTCGATCATGACGCTTCCGTCCCTAACATTTCACTTCCAACATCTTATTCTCATAAACAGTACGTCGAGAATAGAACGCAATTTTAAATTTTACTATCGTAAAATATTACGTGTGTATAAATAATGTTTTAACACTTTATCAATGTATTAGCTAATTAACAAAATATATTTAGGGATATCACATTTTATAATTTACCTCGTAATTTATCAATATTTATGGATATAAATACATATATATTTAATTATACAAACAAATTTAATTAAATAATATATTTTTTAGATAAAATATAATCCTGCAAAAAATTAAAATATTCCTTCTTCTATGCAGCTCTTTATATTTTAAATCAATGAATCTGCACAAGTCATATCAACATTCTTTATATATTAAATTAAATTAAATAAATAAATATTTTATGTAAAATAATATAATTCCCCTCTTTCTCTCTACACATTATTAACTTTTCCGGGCTTTTATAACATTCATAAAATCTTACAGCAATAAACAGTATGAAACATTTATGCACGATTCTTTTAGTTTCTTACTTAAAGTATTGTTTTTTATTTAAAAGATCGTACAAATTATTTTCGAACATCTTATTGTCTAACTTTTAATGGATAGATAATTTAACTCTATAAAATAGGGATAAATAGAGATTATTACATAAATTCAAAGTTAATATATTTCGACGTACTTGAGGACGATCTAATGTCGCACTCACAGAGAGGATGTTGGAAGTAAAATCCGTTAAATAATAAAAATAGCCTACCTACATCGGTGCAGGTTGCTTCCTAAGATTCGTCCGAATCAGTCACTGCTAATATCACCTTCAACGTTCCTTTCTTTTTAATTAATTCCTACGATTAATTCCACGATCTTTGCGTCCGTTTTTTCTCTTCGTTCCTCGTGGGGAAATCGTTCTAGATCGAGGCAGAAAAGCTGCCTTTTATTGAACACGAATGCTGATCTTCTGATTGCCGACTTGTCATTAAGTATTAATTACGACAAAGAATCGAGCAGTGCTAACAAGCGTTACTCGGAAAATGTAGTTCGAAAAAATTTGCGATAAATAAAAGAAAAAAATCCTTTTGAAACGTTTGTGATCGATGCTCGATCCCTGCCTACATGCCTAAATTTTGTTCTGAGATTTCGCGTCGAGGAAACAAGAGGAACAGCGCTAGATCGTTAATCGGTACCTCGCGACTCGTTGGCTTTGTTTGCGAGAGCGTGTAGCTCGACCTTCCTAAGTGCGATCGATTTCGCTTTAATTCGCATTAGAATTAAAGAGAAGTTTCATATATTTCCAAGATAGCATAATTCCGATTTCGTTATGTTTTCCTCAAAAAGCAAATATTGTTCTTTCTTCTAGATGTATAACCTATCGATCCTGATCTTAAAGTTCTTAGAAAACGTACTTTATCGAGGATACCTGATCGCTGATCGTCTCTCGTACGTTTGGATCCTTTTCGCATAGAAGAGTACGAGAGGATTTTTATTGAATCGTAATTTTTTTTACACCGGTCCTCCTGTAAGCTATCACGAGGATTTTCTAAACGTGCTCTTCTTCACTCGTAACCGAGAGATCGTTCTCGCACGCGCAACTACGTAGTATTCACCGTTGATCTGATTTTACGAGGCATTTCCATGAAAATCGTTTACGCAATGATCAATTCGAGGAAGTTTCTCTCGGAGAATACTCGATCACTTTTCGCGTTATACCGAAATCGTCGAGCTTCAAGATAGATCCTTAGGGAATCTGGAATCTTGGGAGATTCTCGTCTAGACTTGATTAATATTTAAATAAAGGTCCTCCCCGAGAGTGCTCCGATTAGCGAGCACATTTTCTTTGCACACCCGCGAGACACGTGAAGAATCGTTTCGCATACTCTTCTGTGCCTCTCTCAATCCTCGGTCCTTTACAACGACGAAAGGTGACGTTCTTGGCCACGTCCTGTACACAAATCTCGAGCACAAGGCAACGTTCTGCCCAGTGTGGAGATACCCCCCTTTACACGTACCACTCTTTAATGTCTATCAGTTCTCGCTTCTTGTTGGTTTTGCTGCCGTTGGCGCCGTTCTTCAGGGCGCCGTTGAAGGGCTGGCCGGAGCTCGCGGCGCCCAGTAGGGCCGCGTTCGGATCCTGACAAAACGTCTTCGTCTCGTCGACCTTGTAGCTCGTCTCCGGCCGGTTCTTAAACTTGAGGATTATCAGGATGATCAGGATGATCGCTATCAGCGCGGCGGAGATTATGCCGATTATAAGCGCGGCATTTTCAGCCGCCTCGGACGTGATCCGCTTATTATTGTTGTTCTTGGGCGGAGTGGGTATCGGCGGGTACACCGGCGGCGGAGGCGGTGGCGGCGGTTCCGTCATTTCCGTCGTGGTCGTCTGCGTCGTCACAGTTGTCGATCGATGCGTCACGACGCTGCTGTAAAGCGTAAGCGACGACCATTTAATTTTAATTATCATTCGGAATTAACCACGTTTATGGATAAACCACAGTTTTAATTAATTCCGCGGTTTTCTATCGTCAATCACGGACGGTTGCTGCGTGACATATGTTAGTAACATTTCTCGTTCAAACGCACAGAAATCTGAATTTTTTCAGGCAAATTACTCGATTACGATGAATCAAATCGTGACCAAAATACGGATTGAAAACTGCTAACGTTAAATTTTACAACTCTGAATTTTTAAACTTGAGATGTGTATCAATTCACATGTATTTTTAAGAGAGGCAAATTGATCCTGTTAATTGAGCTTTACCTCGTTAACGATGCTTGCAATTTTGAGACTTTTCCAATATTCAACGTAAAAGGGAAGCTTTTAAAGGATTCTATGAATACGTATTAATTGATCAGGGAATAATTTAGACTACACGTTCCACGTGATGAGATTCTGGTGGAAAATGGACATTATGGCGATTCGGCGAATGCGAAAAACGTGTAGATTCCCCCGGTAACGACTAATCGATGTGCATGAGCGATTGCAAATGATTATCCGGTTATCCGTCGCTCAATTGCGAACGTTAACGTCGGTGACAGACGCACGCACCTGCTATGGCTGGTCTCGAGGTCTGTGGTCGACACATTGTATTGGACGGAGACGGTGACGACGTCGCGGCTCAATGTTGTCGACGACCCCGACGTCGTCTGGGTGCTGATGTGACTCGTCGAGTACTCGCGGGGCGTCGTGTACGTCACCGAGCTGATATCTGCGACAGAAAGCAAGAGGGTAGGAAAAAAAAAATAGTGCGTCAGAGGGCTGCTTTCGCCTCGTTCTATCGCGCGGAGGGGATGGTACAGGAGGAAGGCGGAAGAGGTGGAGGAGGTAGGGAGGAGAGGGCATGGAAGCGAAAGGGACGGGATGTGAAACGTGCGGAGGCGGCAATATTTACGCGTGCGTAGGCCGGCAAATATTCACGCGTGCGTAAGCAGGAAACGTTACGAGCCGAGCGGTCCCGAAGGCATCAGGAACGTATCGTATCATACATATGCATTCGAGCGAAACGTTCTTAAAGTAACACGCTAATTTATCTACTCATCTATCAATTTTTTCAGGAACAAAAATAGTACTTTACATGCGGATCATCTTTCGCGTTTAGCACATAGTCTCGTATTTCAGATACTAGATACCGCGTACCGCGACATTTCTCTTAAAATGAAGCTCATAAGTGACATTTCAAGGCAGCAATAATTAGGTTTCTCTAATTCTGATATCTATACATAACACAGATTTATTGTCCGGTGTAAAAAAATTTCATAATCTTTTCTGACATTTGACGATAAGTCGTTTTAATAAGTTACCACTTGTACCATATGTTTGTATTATCTACTGCCTTGCAACGAAGGAACTCTTTGTAACTGCGTTACTTTAAATATCAACTCATAAGGATGTCTTAGAGTTTAAACACGCTAGGCTTTGTGCTTCGGTATCGATTTTTAAACAATACACGCACTCTATTTTAGTAACGTTCTATTTCACAATCACGTATTAAAATTATAAATTCGGGTAGACATACGTGCAAAAAGACGCGATAAAGAATTCTCTATGAATGCTGTGTATTAAACAAAATGTTTTGGATTTCAAAGATGTTTTCACGTGATTTTACGTTCGGATCGAATTAAGGACAGAGTATCCGGTTTGACGTCGTGACTCGACGGGGCGAATGTTATTACTGAAAGGAATGTCGCCCCCGGCAACAGAGTGGTGTTATTTTCACGGTAGGCGATGGTTGCGCGCGTCACAAAAAGTCGTTACGAACACGAAGAAGACGCCTACGTCGTATTTCCGTAAGGAGGGGTTCTTTGTATTTAAAGCCGATAACTGGGAGATAGGTCGATGCTTGTCTACGTGTGATTTTATGATGAATTTTCTATAATATATAGGTTACATATATTAATTTATATACAATATAATATTAATTTTTTTGAAGACATGAATTTAAAGCGGTTTAGAAATAAATTCTTCATAATTGTGCGAAGTCTCGTCTTCGAAATGTAAGAAGGAGGATTTATGAAACATTGATTTTTTTTGCGACTGTTTGCCGAAAGAAAGATACTTAGAATTATTAGGCAGAACGATGTTGATGAAATACGGACCGGTAGCTGAGGTGACAAAAATTTCTTCCGTTGTTCTGGGATCACCGGAGCCCTCTTCGCAGTCTTCCTCGTCGTCGCAGGATGGACGCTCTTGAATATTTTCCTTGTGTAGCTTCGGCCTCAATGTCGTTGGCGATCGTGTGGGCGCCACGTATACTGGCGTAATGATGTCATCTGGAAATAGAAACGACGCAATTATTAAGATGAACGTATACGATCATAGTGTACGGACAAACGAAATGTGTAACACGACACAAAGTAATTACATACACAACAAAATTTCATATTCTGCACCGTATCACTGCTTTTAAAATAATTGCAAATATACCTCTTATCTGATATTGTCAAAATTTTTATTTATTCCATACATATCAGATAATAATAAAAAATAATAGTTATTAGCTATGCACCGTTTAATTACGAACCGTCTAAAAATAAAGAATAATGATGTTATAAAAAATAAGTCGTGTAAAGTAATGATTCAAAGTATAAATTCCTTTTGAGGAATTCTCCAATTATCCCGGATAATTGGATCGCGCGGAAATTTCGCGATGCGTATCTCGCTGCGTTGCGAAGCGACCAGATGTAACGTTCGACCATCATCCATGGTTATCGTGTCTCATTAACGTGACGATGTTAATTTAGTTTTTAGTTAGTCGGAGAGGAATTTGAAGCGGGGCCTCAGTCCGTTGCAAGAGGTTTGTTGGAAAAAGAGAAGAGGAAACAGAGTCAGGTTTTATTTCTCCGGCCGGCGAATATGTAAATGAATCGAAGATACAACCGGGCGAGCATGAAGACGAAAAGGTGGACCATGCCATGCGATACGTGCGATGCGTGTTGAGTATGTGATGCGTGAGTGTATAACGGGGACGCCCTTCTTCATGTGTGATGTAATGCGGAAAAAGGAATCGATATCAATGACAACTTAAGAGGAGTTTTGCGAACAGAATCTAATCAATCAAAATAAGTAAATTTATTTCTCATTTTAATTTAAAATAATTCTTTTAGATGTACATTTTATAGGAACGAAAGATTACACCTTTGATTTTTTAAAATATAATTTTTACTTTTGAACATAGAGAATTAAAATGGTTTGAAAGCAAGTTTTTCGGTTGATTAATACGATTTATTTAGTGAGAGACTAGATTTGGTTTATTTAATGGCAAATTGTACGCGTACAACTACTTATTAATAGTTTAATTTGTATTAATGTATTTTTTGTTCGTATCAATATGACAAATTCTTCATTATTATCTCCTCTTCTTTGTTATATATGATTGAAAACAAAATTGCGAAATATTTTAAATATTAATTATTCCTGAGTATCTTTAGTACGTATAGAAGAAACGAAAAATCTGAAACTTTTAAACTTTTAAACTGTTAAACTTTTAAACAATTTTCAGTCGTAACCACATATTTTATTGTTGTAACAAACAACGTCCAACAGTTTATTCAATTTATCAATAGAAAAAAATATGATTACTTTGTTATAAGAAAATAAAATTAAAATATCCTGCTTCATAATCGAACAAATTTCACTGTTGATATTATTAATAAGCAAAAAAAATGTGTGGTAAGTGCCGTCAACTGACGACAGTGCCTACCAGTACATGTGTAATCCATCCTTGTCTAGGGGAGTGCTAAACTTCTCTCCTTTCATACAACACAACGGAGATCGATACTCGGTCTCTTATATATGTAGCGACTGGTTCACGAGCGCTATCGAGAAAGTAAGTTTTTTGAAAATAAATCTTGATCTAATAATCCTATTGCAAAACCGTAAATGAAAATTTTGTTGCAAATATCATTATGTACTCCACTATATAAATTTTATCTAGGTACATGTGAATTCAGTATATATATTTATATATTATAGAATTTTAATAAATATATTTTAATAAATATATTTTATTAAGTGTATTTTAATAATGATGATATGACAAGTTTTTAAAATAAAAATCATATTATTCTTATTTTTATTTTTAGAATTCAACCTTTACTTCATGCTAGACCTATTTCTATGGATAAACATCAAAACGATCAATAATGTTTACACGAAGATACAATATTAAACTCGTGAAAAAATAAAGCTGAAGTAGTACGTACTTTTGAGAATTTTTAATTACAATTATTAGATGCACACTGAAAATTGTTTTTCAATTGAATACCGCGTGTAATGATAAAAACATGCGGTATATTTCGAAAAGACGATACCCTCGCGGGGAAAACGTGCAGAATAGATTACTTACGCCTTCGGAAATATTACTTACACTTACCGGAACCTGACTCGTAGATCGGAGTGCACTCCTCGTCCTCGTCGTCTCCGGCGCAGCCACTTCCTGCGCCGGAGAATATGAGGTCGTCCATGACGCCGGGAAAACCGGACGCGGGCGTCTACAAATTAGATTGATTAACGGCCATTGAAATTACTATAAATTAAAATTACTGAAATTACCTGGATTAGTTCAAAAGGGCATACCTGTTGCATTCTTTGTAGCGGCGGGGCACGATCTAAAAGACTTCCGGCCGGCAGAAGTTGCACGTCCCCTCTGGCTGTAACTTTGCCATCTTTACCCGCCGCCAACTCTAAAATCCTGGCACCATTAACAACCAGTCCGGCTATCACGCCTAGGAATGGACGTTCCACTCTGCCCTTGCTGCGATTCCATCGGCCGCCTACTTGAATAGTGGACTGGCTGTTGAATACTGTCAGTTGATGACCTGTTGAGAAGTACATAAGCCCCTGAATTTATTTTTGTCGGACTTCTTCATGTTATCGATAGACTTAACTAATCGCTAACGTTATATATTGATATATAAATAACAGTATAAGAATTCTTTGACGATAACTAACAATTTAATTAAAATGTATAAAATTGCCAGTTATCGTCAAAGAATTCTTATACTGTTATTTATCTACTGGCAAAGAAAATTTTCCTCATTGATATATGGGGCATTCCATGCGAAATGATCCAACCCAAAAAAAATGTTTTTTTTGATTGTGCTGAAATTTGCACAATCTATTGCCCTATTGACCATAATTAT